GCGACTACGTAATCACGCACCAAACGGAACCTCGAACGCAATAGCTGGTTCCAGTAGAGTTGACGGCGGAGTTCTCCCGAGAACCATAAACATCATAACACATAATCTATCAATCCCCGAATCGACCTTTTGATACGCCACAATGCACGCCATGGCGCACCAACACGCCGGAGCGCATCTTGTGCGACGGCAACGCGACGATGGCCCCGTAGAGATTGTCACGGCGGTCGTCGCCGTGACTGTAGGGGAGGACGGACAACCAGAGCCGACCAAGAATCCCGGAATCGCGTTGCCCGCGCCTGCTACACGCGCTCGCGAGACGACTACTGAGGAAGAGGACGAGCCGGAGGAGACTGCCAAGCCCGAAAAGCCCACCACAACCGCCAGGAAGCCGTCATCTACCCAGGACGACGATGATCTAATCGTGGAGGAGACCTCAACTGCGAAGAGCCCGCTCAAGCCTGCCTCCACTCTTATGGTAGCGACCAAGTCTCCAACGCCTAGCCCGGCTTCATCGATCGCAGGTCTCGCATCTGCCACAGCCGCGACCATTTCGGCCACCGCATCCTCTTCTTCAGCCGCCGCAGCAGACTCCGAGGAAGGCATGTCCACCGGTGCGAAGGCAGGTCTTGCCCTGGGTATACTGCTAGTCTTGTGCGCCATTCTCACTGGTATCTTGCTCCTGTACCGCCGCAAGAAGAAGCAAATGGCCGCCGCTGCTGCTCAGAACGAGAAAACTGAGATGTACAACGCACCCGCACCACCGCCTCCTCAAATCATCGCTGGCGCTGCTCCTGCTGGCAGCATCCGTTCTGCTCGTACCGCCTCAACTGCCCCCCGCCTCAGCCTGCGACCTGTCACCCAATTCGACCCAGCTTTCAACGACCAGCGAAAGAGTGGAGGAAACTTGCTCAACGTTGCTGCTGCCGCTGGTGGTGCTGCTGCTCAATCCCAGAACCGCAACCTCTCGCCTTCAGCCTCAGCCGAACGTCCTACCAGCGCCTGGGAGCGACGTGGTGCCGCCAACGCTCCCGCTGCCGACCCATTCAAGGATCCTGAGGCGCAATCTGGTCCTCCCTCAGCGAACCCCTTCGGCAACAACGCTGCGGTCGATACTCAGCAAGCTTCCATCCCCGACTCGCCTCCCAATGCTTCTCCCATGGCCTCCGCAATGCACTCTTCCAAGCCCAGCTCTGATTTCGCCAACCCAGCTCCGGCTATCGCCACTGCTGACTCTAATGCTGTTGCCATGTCTACGATCCCTCCTCCTACCTCTGAGCTTCCTCTGCCGCCAACTGTTGCCGCCAACAACGGAAGTGTTCCCCCGAGCCCGGCTTGGACTGAAGACATCCCTGCGTCCCCTGGCCCAGCTCCTGCTGGTCCTCTTCCTGTTGCTGGCGCTATGGCTGGTGGTCGTCCCCAGAGCCCTGCCATGGGTCCTGGTCCTAACAACGTTCACCGTGTTCAACTTGACTTCAAGCCTTCCATGCAAGATGAACTCGATCTCCATGCTGGTCAACTGGTTCGCATGCTCCACGAGTACGACGATGGATGGGTAAGTTCGACTGTTCTCTCTAATTTGACATCATGACTAATTCCTCTCAGGCTCTCTGCATTCGTATGGACCGCTCTCAGCAAGGTGTCGTCCCCCGCACATGTCTCTCCAAGCACCCCGTCAAGCCCCGTAACGGCCCTCCTCGCAACGGTCCCCCACCACCAGGTAACATGCGCGGCCCACCCATCCGCCCAGCCATGGGTCCAGGCGGTCCTCAGCAACGTCCTCAGTCACCCGGCATGAACTCTCCCAACATGCCCCAAGGCAGCCCCGGTCCCCGTCAAATGTCCCCTCGCCAGATGTCGCCCCAGCAAATGCCATCCCCGCAGATGCAACAAGGCCCACGCATGCGATCCAACAGCAACGCTCCCCAACAAGGACCTCCCCGCGGCCGCTCCAACAGCAACGCGCCCTACGCCGGCCCACCCCGCTCCATGTCCCCCGGTCCCTACGGCGGCGGACCCCAGATGGCACCCCCACCCCAAATGGGCGGGCGTCCACGATCCAACTCCGCGAGCCAGGCCGGCAACCCACGACGAGGTCCAGCACCCGGTCCCAGTCCCATGAATCCCAATGCCATTACCCCCAACGGACCTGTTCCTATCCCCGCCCGGAAGCCGGTCCCTGGTATGGCTATGTAAACAAGAACGTTTGATTCTAGACTGGTGCTTTTATGAGGAACGTTTGAGCGGTTTCTTGATCTTGATTTGACATTTTTTCGCTATTTCCTTTTTTGAACCTCTTTCCAACTAGCGGTACGCGGTTCCTTGTGAATTCGTTGTTTACCCTGTTCCCTTCGCTTGGCTTCGATTCTTTGTAGTGACTTCCTCCCACTGGACATCCGCACATCGTAGAAGTTGTGCTGGTGCGCAGTGGAAAGGCCAGTCCCTACTAGACCTCTTTGCTTTTCGATGCTTATACCCCCTGTAGCCTCGCACCAACCGTCCCCAATCTCACCTATCGAGGCTGGTCACCGGAGCAGGCGAGGCGAGATACTTTAGTCGATAATGTCTTGAGGATATTTTTTTATATATGGAAGTTGAATGTTACCTGTCCGCTGGGAAGGTTTCGGATGGGCTGGTTTGAGCCATGGCATGTACCTTCTTTCCATTTGCCTCTTGAGCGCCTGGTGCAATATGAGTTTACTCTACTGCTGCAAGTGCCGGGTCGCTGAGTGTAGGGAGAGGTATGGGATTCTTTGAGAATGAATATTTGGATAGGGAATGAAATGAGTATACAAAATGCTGCTTCGACTTTGTAATTCCCGTGTCTGCCAGGTCTCAATTCTTTGTTGGCCTGACAGCTGCCGGCAGTCTGCTTACACTGCGAGCCTTGTTCCAGCACTGCTTCCAGCACCCCGATCTAACGATTTTCCTTGCTTTACCACACCATAAACGAAGTATTGCTAACTTCCGCCAGCTAGGTCGACGTCTCGTCTTCCAGGCAGTCTGAACGACGATAATCTTGTAAGCCTCGTTGGGTCTTTTTGACTGGTTGATGACATATGTACGTTGCTTCCGCTTTCTATAATCGGCGTACCGACGGTCTGCAAGCATCAAGATTGCCGTAGTGCACCTTTCCACTGAAATTGGTAACGGAGGTAAGTAATTGCAGTCCTGGTATTGTAGGACTTGAAGGTGACTATGTACAGCAGACACATGGACAAGCACGACAAACCCTGCAAGTCCATGTGGTCATCCTGAGGTTCGAATATGTCGGCACGTGATCAAAAAACCGTCCATGGATGCAAGTGAAGGCGCATGAGTTGAGTGGCATTACTCACTTTGATAGGTCGGCCCCAGCCAGTCAGCATGATCAGCCCTGCGCCATCAAGCTCGCATATGTAGGGATGCCGATCCTTCGAGTCGTTAGCCACTCCCCTTCTTGACGCCAAGCCGCTCACCTGCAGCCAGATGAGCGAATCAAAGCAACTCAAGTATTGCGAAGTGGTCAGGCTCCTCATATTGTCAACTTACAGGACTCTTCTTCCACTCTCACTTCAAACTGTACATCTCAAATCTACACACGAAGCTGAACATTCTCATTATATTGACTGCATTGATTTCGTATCATACCTGTTGGGAACCAGCTAGTTGTAGGGTATCGACTCTCTCAACTCTTACCCCCAACCTCCCGCCTCCTCCACCCGGGCTCTACCATTTCACTTCACAACCACAACGAGTTCTGCCTCCACATCTTGTATGAAGTCATGACTTCAAATGGTAGGTTCCTTTGCGAAATATTGTTTTCTTTTTTTGGTATACGTTGCGAGCGAGCGAAATGTCTTGCTAAATGTGGTGTCCTTCAGTACCGGCCTTTGAGAACATACTGACGTCTCTTAGTAACACAACTTACTACCGCTGCTGAAACAGATCATCCATGGTCCAAAGAAGCTATCTTTGCCCTAGTCACCTTGTTCGTCATGGTGTTGCTGTCTGGTATGGGCCTAGTTTTCAGAGAACGGATGAGGACATCGAGCCTCTGGATGCGGTATAGATTGCGGAGGATGGACGTGGACGGTATGCAGAATATCAGCACCCGAATTTCTCACCGAGGCTAACGTTGCGTAGACGAAGAGCTCGCAACGATCCGTGCCAGATCCACATCTTCCGGCTGGGTTGGAATCGCAGACGTTCGGCGGTATCAGCAGGCTACATATACATCGATCCTTCGAACGAGGCGCGGGCCAAGGCTGTTGAGAGCGTCAAGCCGATCAAACGACAGGCGTGGATAATGATGGAGAACATCCGAGCTGGCGAAGAGCAAAAGCTTAGCAGTAGCAGACTGTACGGTGCATTGTATGGGCTCGAGCTTTTACATTCCGCCGCAGTTAGTTGGGGTGCGGTGAAGCGTGGGCCAGTGATGATCGATTTTCCTTCTTCATAGACATTTCGAAACGTTAGTTGTGATGTGCGTAATTTACGAATGAATCTGTTACTGTGAGTCGCACGTTCTACCTGAGTGTATGTGAGACCCTCACTCTGTTGCCGTATAGCGCGTGATGCCAGCAAGGCTGAAGAACTTGTCGTGCCGCTTCTCAAGCCTTGCAGACCAGCATGTTCAGCAGTCAGAGGCAATCCAGATGTGCGGTAAGGTTTGGGTGAGACATTTAGTATGCGAGCGAAGAATTGGTGACCTGGTGCAATCGCGTTGAGGACGGACATCAGCATGCAGGTGGAGGAAGTTGGATAGAAGGGTGGGGCCGTGTTAGCGCGCTTGGGGCCGTGCGTTCTGGCTAACCCCATGACGCAGGACAAGTCTTTACCAGCCGCATCACCTCATATCAGTAGCAGAATGAATAGTTACACGGTCTGTTACATTAACATCAAAATCGAAGACTGGTAGAGAAAATTGTTGCATGGTAGAATCTTAGGAGGTAAGTGTTCAAGCTTGCTAATTCCAGCTACATGCGCTCTACGACAACAAGCATCCGCGCTTCAAGATCCTACTCGACAAGACCCTGCTTCGACTTCTTGGCTTTCTTACTCTTCTTCTTCTTTCCTTGGGTTGCAAGAGCTTCCAAATCGGCCAAATCGGCCACTGCTCTGTCGGGCGTAGCCTCCACTTGCACAGCATCGTCGGCCTTCATCTCCTTATCCACAGGTGTCACCAATGGCTGCTCGACCTGCATCACCGAATCTGAACGTACATGAACGGGTGTTTTGATCGTCTCTGGGGCGGCATCACTAGTGTTGACTTGCTCTGGCTTCCTGTTGCCCATCTGCTGGTACGTCTTTGAGGACTTGAAGTCCAGCTCGTCGGTGAAAGGCTCGAGCGTTGCTGGCGTTCGCTCTACCTGAGCTTCTTCAAGCTTCGGAGCTACTTCTTCAGTGGGCTTCGAGACGATCGCGTCGTTTGAAACTGGTGCTTCATCAACGACATCCTTTGGTGCAGGCGCCGAGACCGGTTTCGTTGCGGGTTCTTCTACCTCTTCCTTCTTGGTCGGCGCAGTCACAGAAACATCGTCTTCACCACTAACCGGCTCATGCAGCTCCGGCACGACCTCAGCTGTCGGAGTGGAAGCCTCTTCATTATTGACCACCGGTGTAGCCGGCGCCCGGGCATAGTTACTCATCACAGTTTTCCAGACGAGCTGTAGAAGCCTGCTGTTACCCTCTACCGTCGTGATGAAGTCCGGCTTTCGGAAAGGCTCTGGATCGTCCGCCATGGCATTGTTGAGCGACTGCTCAACATAACTGGGATACCACAAATCATCTTCCGGTAGCAAAGGGAACGCATGGTCTCTCGCTACGGTAAGGATATCGAAGATGCTCATCTCTTCGTCTAGAGACTTGAGCTTGTTCTGGGCAAGCTCGGCAAGGCCGGGTAGCTTGTAGCGAGCGGCGGCACAGTATACACCTGCTCCTAGCTTGTAGACTTCGGGGATGACCTTGTCGGACGATGCCAGTGTGTTGAGACTCTGGTATTTGCCGGTATACAAGTAGTGCACCAAAGTGTGCGCTGTGTTCAGATCCAGCTCCGGGAGAAGTACGGACTGCTTCACGAAGGCCAAAGGGTAGGACTTTGCGGCAAGAACCTCGCTACGGCTCAAGACGCTGTCGTGGACAAGGAAGCGGGTCGCTTCTGGCCCGACTTCCAGTGAAACCATCTGCGTGGTTGCATAGGGGCTATACGTTGCTGTCAATACCGCTCTGAGACCCATTGGTGGTATGTAACTTACGAGACCTCTTCAGGACTGACTGCTAGGTCTCCCGTACCATACGCATATCCACCCAAACCGTCATTGTCATGCGACACATCCAGGGTAGAGTTATCGCTAACAGACATATTGTGCTAACACCAAAGTTCGCCTGCTGATACCCGCCAGATTTCAGACGAACCACTTCTCTTTAACCCATCACAACAACTTCCCCCAAAATGAGGCTCAAAACACATGCGCTGTCACATATTACAAGACGCGGGGTCTGTATGCACTCATGAGTTGTCATTTCGACAGCATTCTCAGCCTTGTGGCCTCGGTGATCCCGTTGGTCAGCCTGATCGTCCTTCACTGCACCCCGCGAATGCTGCGTCCAATAGACCAAGACGGATCGATGAGCTGGGCAAAACCGGTGAAATTGGGCGTAGATTTATCTGGAATTATCTTTGGTTTATGCGCTCAGACCCGATGGCTGGATGGGCGCGCTATCGCTGGTAGCCTGCGATCTAGACTGTTCGTCGGTGGCCGCGGAACAAACGTTCCTCATGTACCGGGAACTCGTCTCCGAATGAGATCGTAATTGGGGCAGGGGACTATGCGGGTGTCGAGATAGAGGACAAAGTCGAGGACGATAGATGTTGGTGGAGATCTGATTATGCTTCCCGGAAGGTCGACTCGTTGGAAGGAACGAAATGTCGACCCTTGCGAGGTTGTAGTCAGCCGCCACATCTCACCTTCACTACGTGTGATGCGCAGAGACAAAAGAATGTGTCTTGACGAAGATTGGAATGGGATTTAGGGTACGGCAGGCATTTTTCGAACAACAACTGAGGTCTGAACATCGCGTGTATCGTTCTGGATGTGCTTGACGGAACGGGGGGTGAATTGAGGCCGAGGACAAGAACGAGTCAACACATCGCTTCGCAGTGAGCGAGTCTCGGTATGTAAAAAATGTATACTCCAGGAGAGAACGACCAACGTCGTACATGATGCAATTGATATCCGCGCGCGGTCTCCGAGGACGCACAGCAGGTGGAACGTACGGCGTGCCACTTTACCTAGGCTAGCTTAGCGCAACTGTGCCTCAGCCTCCGCCCACAAGTGCACCAACCGCTACCGTACTTAGTTAAGTACGGCTGAACATCATTTGCATCTTCGACTTCAGCTTCCTCAAACTCAGCCGCTTCTGGTATTGATCCACAGAACCAGGCTGCAATGTCGGAAATATACACAGTTCAAACCACAAATTCGACGTCGTCAAGTCACACAAACACGCTACGTCTTCCATCAAGTCTTAGTTTCTGGATACTCAGCGTCGTCAGTGCCTACTGGCTTCTCGTTCGCACTTTCCGGTATAGGCGTCGCGATGGCCTCACTCACCGCTTGAATGTAAAAGCAATACTATCAACACTTCCACTTCTGCAAGGCTGACAAACAACCTAGTACCCCGACCGCTCATCATGGAGTCGCATGACTGTTAAAGATGCGCATTCAGTACACGTTTCTCTTACTGAACTCGAATTCCCAATCATATTTCACACATCCACATTCTTCGCCCTTTTCAAAACCTATGGCATACCCAGTATCTCAAAACTGCTTGTCGCAACAGGACAACTGTCCTGCCCGGAAACAGCATCGAAGCGAGCTGCTGATACTGCTACTATCATGACCGAGGCGATTATCAATAAACCTGATTCCGAACGCGCCATCAGTGGCATAGCACGAATGAACTATCTCCATAGCCGGTATATCAAAGCCGGGAAGATATCGAATGACGATATGTTGTATACACTCAGCCTCTTCGTTCTTGAGCCTGTTAGGTGGACTGCCAGATACGAGTGGCGAACTGTGACAGACTTTGAGAGATGTGCCATGGGTGTGTACTGGAAGGATATGGGCGAGGCGATGAAGATATCATACGACACCCTACCTTCAGCGAGTCACGGATGGCGTGACGGATTCCATTGGCTCGAGGAGGTAGAAGCATGGAGTTTGGCATACGAGGCTCAGAACATGGTGCCTGCCGATACGAACGCGACGCTCGGTCGTGGTACTTTCGATGTCGCCCTATTCAACGTACCTTCCGCTCTCAAGCCTTTCAGCTTTACGGTGGCGCATATGTTACTCGAGCCACGCTTGCGGAAAGCTATGAAGTGAGTGGAAGCCGGTGCCATTCCTTGATTGACCCACGTTGCTGACCACTACCAGCATACCGCAACCCCATGCCATCTACTACCAATGTCTAGAAACATTGGTCGAGATTCGCAAGTTCTTACTCCGAAACTTCTTCCTCCCTCGCCCGTACTTCCTACGCCCGGACTGGTTCACAGAAATCGACGAGCGCACTGGCCGCGCCAATGCTGGCCAATACATTGATAGACCGTGGTACGTCAAGCCGTCGTTTATGAAGAGGTGGGGTCCAAACGCGTTGTTACTGCGACTAGTTGGGGGTGTCGTCCCAGGCGACGAAGGATATCATCCAGAAGGATATCGGATTCACGAACTTGGTCCTTCAGAGCTTGTGGGGAAGGGTGATGCGGAGATGCGAAATACGAGAGATGAGTTGAGAGCGAAGAGGAAGTGCGTGTTCTCTCGCTAATGGACTGGATGTCTTTGCTGAGAAGGAGAAGATTGAGCTGTAATGCGATGACGAGCTTCGGTCAGGTCTGTAAGGTGCTTGGATTCCTAAGAATACCTAGGTAGGATGCAGTAGCTCTCAATGAGAAGAGAAGCTCGGAGGACTTACGGGAAGCATCGACCGTGATGGCAAGGTGTCATACGTATTTGTGCTGAGATGAAGGAGTAAAGCGGAAGACATTGGAGAACAAAGAGAGGTGGAGGGGTCCACATCGGAATGGTTCCGCACCCGCATCCAATGGCGGAACCCCGCGTCCACCCCGCGGTGATACATATGGAGCAGTTGCTCTCCGCTACATATAGCATCATCTCACTTTACTATCGTCTTCATATACCCTCAGGAACTCACAATGGCGACCACAAAAGTAGCGCTCATCACTGCGAGCTCAGCAGGTCTGGGCGCGCAAATAGCACGTGTGTTCGCACCAGACTTCCGCGTAGTATGTATACAAACCTACCGTCACATGTCCAGCATATACCGTGACCAAGAAGAGCAACTAACACACCCAGGTGATAAACTATTTCTCAAACTCCGACCGAGCCGCCACCCTCATGAAAGAGCTCTCCTCAATCCCAGGCCCATCTTCCGAATCCAACCCACGCTTCCACCTCATCCAAGCCGACATGTCCTCGAAGCCCTCCGTCCAAAACCTCGTCCAAGAAACCATCTCAACAATGGGCCGCCTCGACGTCGTCGTCTCAAACGCCGGCTGGACCCGCATGACCACCTTCACGGACATCGAACAGCAGATAAACGACGAAGACTGGGACAAGTGCTTCACCATGAACGTAAAAACGCACATGTGGCTCGCCTACGCCGCGAAAGACGCCTTAGCCTCCACCGAAGGCACATTCATCTCCACAGCGAGCGTAGCGGGAGTCAAGCCCAGTGGGAGCAGCGTGCCGTATGCTGTTACGAAAGCGGCGCAGATACATCTTGCGAAGAGCTTGGCTGTTATTCTTGCGCCGCGGATTAGGGTGAATAGTATTAGTCCTGGTATGTTGCTTACGGAGTGGGGACTCAAGTTTCCGGAGAAGAAGAGGGAGGCGGCGATACAGAATACTAGGTTGAAGAGGTTGGCGACGGTGGATGATTGTGCGGAGCAGGTTAGGGTGCTGGCGCTTAGTAGGAGTATTACGGGGCAGAATATTTCGATTGATGGGGGGTCTTCTGTGTAGGGGAGGGTGTGGGTAGTTGGGCAGGGTTGGACTGGGCATGTTGGAGTGCAGAAAGGACTTTGCGCTGAGAAGTACCGAAGAGTCTATTGTGACTGAGGGGAATGTCTTGTTCGTAGAGGAACATGCGTTCTCGGTGTTATAGAAGCTTACAGTTTCAGGCTTGGGATTGTCAATTCCGGCGGTATTGTAAGCTGACCGCATAGAGCTTCACTAGGAAAACCATATGCATGGCCGGTTAGAACAACGACTTTCTATTCTTGACGTTCTCATTTCTGCAGTGTTCCACGGCAACGGCGTCGCAAAGAGCGGTGGAATGATCGTGAGACTCGCATGCAGCATGTGTAACGTCGACACTCGTTCGACTTTTGTGCGACGTATACGTTGTGCACTGTGTACATCTTCGGCGTGTTTGCTGTCGCTAGTCTGACGGATGAGGTTTGAGCAACCGCAAGCTTACTTCCGTTGCACAAGTTCATGAAGGACGCTGAACAGGGCGTGAGGTGTGCTCTGAAGACAGTCTTGAACGATGTAAGGTTTGCGACTGTTCCCAGCCACGCTCAGGTACCGAGCAAATCGACCGATCCGTGTATCTCGAATGAACTAATTGTGACAGCATCGGTGGCGCACTCGCGGCGCCGTCTGCCACAGGTCGCCGTCTCTAGTCGAACTCCCGTCCCGCCAACAGTATTGCCCAGCATGGTAGTGAAGAGGCACACGTCAATGAAGGAACAGAAAGAGTAGCCAAGCTGACTCGCTCTTACATCCACTCTAGAGTCAGCAAGACAAGCCCGTCGGAGAATTGATAGGGCGCGATGCACCAATGATCCGCTCCCAGGTTACTCCAAACGCGTAGTCAGGGCTCCGGCTTCGGAGCGCAGCCATTGGGCCGGCGGGTTTTCGCATCCTACGAAACGTGCTTGAATTGCACAACATGCGATACGTCGAGATAAACAAGTACAATCCCACCCGTCAATAAAGATGGCGCGGAATGCCAATCAAGGATGCGAAATATGTGGAAAGTGGCTGGTCGCGTGCGAGCCAACGATGCTGCTGTGTCCAATTCCAGTTTCCCCACGCCAGACGTGTGCCACAGTATCGACCTCTCCACGAGCCCACCACGGCGGCCTTGAGACCCACCGCCTCGCTTCTGGGGACACTCACATGCTTTCGCGACAGTTTGCCGCCAAGGGTTGCCGGACGGGTACGGGAGGCTGACATGCAGCTGAGCCCTACTGCATGCCACGCCGCACGGGTCGTGGTGCAAAAGAACACAACGGCTTCAGCTGGTCATGCCTTTGATGTTGTTTCGTGTCAGCGCGTAGATACAAAGAAAGACGAAGGTTTGATTGCTTCTGAGATGCCTCCCACTTTCCAAGTAAGCTGCTGGCAGGCGTATCCAGGTCGAGCTCGCCTCAGAGTATGCGGACACGGGCATCGGGAACCAGGGTCTCACAATCTTCGCGCTCCGGCATGTTGCCTGGCTCGTTGGAAATAACTCTGAGCTGGTTCGAAAATAGTCCCAGTTTGGGCGTTTGACGAGGTTAGCTGCTGGCCTTGTGGAGACTCGTTACTGGATGCGGTAAGATACGGTACGACAGTGGCCGCGGTCAGTTGAAGAACCACAGACGATGGCCGGTCGGACGGGTGTCTCGATCTGCTCAACCACAGCCGGATTTTGCACGCCGCGGGCCTTCTGCAGGGCGTGCGCTCAGTAGCGCCGTGTCGCAACGGCGAGACCAAAAAACCCAAAAGATTGGGTGTCGAATCGTCGTTGGGCGCCCGATGTTCGCCCGACTGCGGTGCCTCGATGTCGCGAGACCTGGGGTGAGATGCACTAGACACGAGGAGGATGGCAGCAAACCGCCGTGGTCGTCTTATCGCACACAACGTACGTGAATCGCATAAACACATGGCCAGGGACGGGGTGGCGTTGGAGAGAACGCGTCGCGACGGCCGGCGAAGATGCGGCACCCAAAGCAGCTAGCGCGCTCGATCTCCGAGGCGGCAGCTGATTGGGCGACGCGGTTCTCTTATCTCTGGCCAGAAATGCAATTGACACACGCAACCTGGACCACCCACTCGCCAAGCCTTCCGCCCCGGATGAAACTGGCGTTGCCTGCAATCGTTATGCGAATTCGTGTTGAGCCCGTGGTGAGAGGCGCCGCGCGAGGCCTGTCCCTACAAGCTGACGCGACGTGGCCGCCGGTGTGGGTGGGCGTTGCGCCTTATCACGTCTGCTTGGTCGTCACATGTTTGCAGAGCAGCGAGCCGGCGAGATAAGGCGTTAGATCGTTAGAGACAGCAATGACGCAGCTCCGATCAATCGCGGCAGAAAAAGAACAAAGCTCCATGGCTGGATCTAACGCGAACCCCACGACGGTCGCGGCTGTGGGTGATGTACCCTCGTCTATTTTGCCTCGAGTGATGGCCCGTGGACCAGGATAGATAAGAGTAGTACAGCAAGTTCCACCCATAAAGGTCCCGGCGCATCTACCGTAATCTACAGTAGGGCTTCCGGAATCTCCCTGTAGCAGCTTATATTACTGGCACCGATCCAGCTTTTAATCCCTTCTCTTTTCTTCCACAGGCCCTACCGTGGAACCGTCCTCCCTTTCCCCATAGTACTTAAGGACCCCAGATCTCCTTAGTACCCCGACAATCCCCTAGGACTTCCCTCACCATGTCGTACTCGTGGGTCGGCCCTCCGGCGCAGTTCAATGGCACCGATGATATCACTGGTGGTGACTCTGGTGAGTACAAGTTCCCAAGTACCATTGCGCACGTGCCGAGCGCAACATCCGCATCGTGTGCGACAGAAGGCTAACATGAACATCAGTCACCGAGAACTTGAACCAATGGTTCTCTGCGGGTGACCAGGCCTACATCCTCGTGGCTTCGGCCATGGTGATGATCATGGTTCCTGGTCTCGCATTCCTCTACTCCGGTCTTGCTCGCAGAAAGTCCGCCCTCTCCCTCATCTGGGCCTGCATGTTCTCCGCCTCCGTCATTACCTTCCAATGGTACTTCTGGGGATACTCGCTCGCTTTCGGACCCTCAACGAACGGTTTCATCGGAAACCTCGACAAGTTCGGTCTCAAGGGCGTTCTGGCTCATCCCAGCCCCGGTAGTCCTTTGATCCCAGAGTTGCTGTACTCCTTCTACCAGGTACGAAAACCATTACTATGAACCGGTTTCGACGAACTAACACAATCCAGATGCAATTCTGCGCTGTCACTGCTGCCATCGTCGTCGGTTGCGTTGCTGAGCGCGGTCGCTTAATCCCCATGATGGTCTTCATCTGGCTCTGGGCCACGATCGTATACTGCCCCGTCGCATACTGGGCCTGGAACGCAAACGGCTGGTTCTTCGCATGGGGTGGACTTGACTACGCTGGTGGTGGTCCCGTCGAGATTGTCTCCGGTTGCACAGCTCTCGCCTACTCCATGATCCTCGGACGTCGCCAGGAGAAGATGATGCTCAACTTCCGCCCTCACAACGTCTCCTTGATCACCCTCGGAACCGTCTTCCTGTGGTTCGGCTGGTTGGGCTTCAACGGTGGTTCCGCTTTCGGCGCCAACCTACGTGCTGTCATGGCATGCTGGAACAGCAACCTTACCGCCATGTTCGCCGCCATGACTTGGGTTCTCCTCGATTGGCGCCTTGCTCGCAAGTGGTCCATGGTCGGATGGTGCTCAGGTGTCATCTCCGGACTTGTCGCTGCTACTCCCGCTTCTGGTTTCTTGCCTCCATGGGCCAGCGTCATCCTCGGTATTACCACCGGTA